CAAATCTCATCCCTCTTGCCAATCGGCCAGTTGGGAGTACCCCAGTACCTACTCTTCAACCCCTTCGCTCTCGCTGCTTCAACCTGCTGCTTGACTGTTCCAACCTGTTTTGGCGACATACTTGCAAACCACAGCTTGCCTACTGCGTCGCTGAGGGCGGCGGATGCGTAGTAAGAGTTTGTAGTGTTGTACTTCGCATCTGAAACAGAGCGCAGTGGTGCGTCGAAGAAGATGTACCGGTTTGTCATGGACTGAATGAGGTCGAAGGGGGCGTTTCCAGTGCCGACGACGGTAAGTGGGCCTGTATGGAGAGTTGAGCCGTCGTAGTACGTTAACCAATCTTTGGATCGGAGGGCAGCGAGTTGCGAGAGGAGGACTGGCCATGTTGCTGCCGGGTCGGATTTGAAGTCGATGAGTAGGACGGTGGTTGCGCTTGGGTCCATGTCGAAAACGCCGGTCTTTTTGTCTGGCTCTGAGGCTGTTGTGGCGTTTCGCTGTTCGAGGATGTTCACAAGTGGGTCGATATATAAGCTCTTCAGCGTTCGGTCGCTGGTCGTAGACTTCCAAGAATGACTGACTCGTAGCTCGCCATCTTCTGTTAACCAGATGTCTGCTTCGATACTGGTACATCCCGCCGCGAGGGCAGCATAGAGGGGTACAGAGCGCCAGTAATCATTGTGGGAGTGACAGCTTTTGGTCACGATGTCACGGCTGAAGTCATCTCTCCAATCGGATTGGAATGCCTTGGCTGCTTGCGGCTCTTGCCAGGTATCGACGATGTGCTGAAGGCCACTGTTCTTTGGGGAAGGGGCGAGTCGCTTCAGCAGTATGGAGACAAAGGTGATGTAAACACTGATGTATGTTAGTCTCTTCTCGCACTTCGGCTAGATCTTCTTACCCTCCAGCAATAGTACCGAAGATGGTCATGATAACAGCAATGATCCCAAACCAAAGAACACAACGTCTTCTCCGTTGCTTTCGGTGGGCTTCGGTCTCACCAGGTCGACGCGACAATAACCCGCACCTGTTCAATCTCTTCCACCAGTGCTGCGATGCAGTACGTCGATGTACTTGCCGCTGATGCTCTAGCTCCTCCAGACTCATCGGACTAGACGTTTGACTGACAGCGTCATTTTCATCATCGCGATACGTCCGTGCGGTGGTATCTCCACGAGCCATGTCTGTATGGAAAGGCTGTAGTTCTGTTGCAATGTCTGCTCTCGACATGGAATGACTGCGCAATGGTCAGACACAACACCACAAAGGAGAGATGCTTGTGAGACGATATAATCAAGTTGACATATTGGTTTGGATTGGAGGTAGTACCCGTGTGAGTGACAAACAGGTACAGTGCAGAGTTGCACCAGGTAAGCCAGCGCTAACCAGACATGGCAAACCACGATATGGTCTCACCTCATATAGTGGTGAAAGGAAGTTGAAATCCTGTTTCTCACGTACCTTTTGCTGTCACTCCCTCACTTTGAGCTCGTTGTCTTCCGCTCTGGCATTACATCTACATCACAAACACACACTCTTTCATATACACCTCGCCCTTCACTCCGCCCCGACTCAACACCATCCAAATACATCTGCCTGATCGTGCGTAGACAAGGAGCCCTCGCACAGCATGACACTTACGTCCCAGGCTTTCCGCAAGGCACCTACTTTAGCATCTATCTCCTCCACCAAACCACATCATCGCGACCTAGATTAGCACTTCACCATTGCCGCTTTGGGACAATGAACCGTCAGTTTGGGACCAAGCGCCATCACTATCACTTACGCCCCGTGAGATCATTCGTAAGCCTTCACATCTACACCTCTACTCATACGATGAGATACCGCCTTGACGAAGGGCAGGAGGGCTCACGACGCGCGGCATTCTGTATTGCAGACACATCGAACTCTCTATTGCAGGCGCCTTGAACTGAGGTCCCGTTCGGTTATACGACCGCGGATATGCTTCGTCCGGATGCGAATGCCATAACTATAATGGATGAAAGGGGGAATGTAGACTATGTTGTCGTCGTCATCATGGCATGAAGTCAGGTTCGCTCTGATAGGTGTCCTCGGTAACCAAGCGCGCGGATACGACCAACCGCGGATAGTGGGGACATGCCCAGGTGGTGAAGTTTGTGTCATCCATCTAAGCCTCCAGCACGGTTCCTTGCAGAAAGCTTCGCACGTAAGACCCGTATCGTTTGCTTGACCTGTAGATAGTTACCGCGCGCAGGCGTGATGGGTTGGGTCGTTTACCGAACTCGGTGCTGGTATGGGATTCGCTCCAGTGGTTAAATGCTGTTGTTCCTTCAGTTTGTCTTGTTAAGGCTTGACCTCTTCATCGTCCCTAGATTGTATGCTACGACGCCGACGGTATGGTATGATGTTGCCTGGCTACATCACCTCGCATGCCGATATTGTTGATGGCACGATGGTGATGCAGGTAGGACGGCACTACTTACGCGGCCGAGCAACCACGCCGCCAAGGCAACAACGAAAGTATCCCAATAGCGAAGATGACGTCCAGAAAAAGTATCGAAAGGCGGGAGAGGCGCATTTGTCCAAGTCCGATGCGCGACTACCTGACGCCCTGCACGACTTTCGCATGTGAAAGTCCGCAAGTTCCGCAAAACAATCCGAGGACCCCAGCAAAGAAAAAAGGTTACTGCACATACGCGCGCCTACAAACCTCCGCTCCGCCCACATACCCTCAACACCTACCCACCTACCCACCAACCACCAACCGACACCCAACCATCCCTCGCAACCCGGATAAACACCCGCAGCCCGCGCACAACCTTGCGCAAAGGGTCTTAGAGCCCCACGCGTATTGTTGCCAGCGAGGCTGCGGACGGCTCACATGCACCAGTCTCCTCTCAGTCTTAACCCCTTGCAGGCTAGTTTCTGTGGGGTTCTTGCATGTTGACAGGAGGCCCGATGGGAAGGAAGTGAGCTATCTTCAACCGAGCAGATCACGCACGGCAACACACCGACATTCACGGACGATTTTCACGAGACAGCCTCTTCTCATATCTTCGGATTGCAGTTAGCAGGGACAGCGATGGTGTCGTGGTCACACGATGCGCGACGATGATGTGGGAAGACGTGAAGGACAGACCACTTTTGTCGCTTCTTCTCCGTCACCGTGTCGACTGTTGACTTTATCGTCGAAGTCTTTCCACAATTTCGTTTTGTCCTAGACTAAGATTGGGTATCTTAACCTAGTTGTATGCACGCGGTATGCCAACTCACCACACCGACTCTTTTTCCCACCCGCCGTTAGTTATGGGGTCAACAGATCAACAATAACACAGGCCCAGCCTCGTTTATTTTTTCCATCGTTCGCTACACTTAAGGCAGGCTTCAATATCGCAATTTCACGAACTGCATACTTACCTTTTTCTTGCGTTTTGATACTCTCGTTTTGTTTCGCTTTTCCATCTTGGCGGGAAGATTGAGCATCCGAGCTTCACGACAATAAACGATCACGAAACAAAGAGAAATTACGACTTCATTAAGGCGAAACCCCGCATTCCACTATCCACTACCTCCCGCCGCTACGACAACCATAAGCGTTACCAACACTCTCCCAAGCCACCAATACCGCCGTTCACCTAACACCATCAACACCACAATGGGAAAAGACTCCTCCTTCCGCCTCTGCATAGCCTCGCTCCTCATCATCCAAATCGCCTGCTGGGCCCTCACACTGCTCGATCTCTACCACCCTGGCAAGCCCACAGCTATGCTACGCACTACGATGGACTTGGCGTCGCTATATTTCACGAGGTTGGGAGGCCAGAGCAGCGCCGCGTTGCAGCACTTGAGTGTACGGGATATCACAGCGTTGGTCTACTGAGATGACGAATAAGAGAGGGGAACATTAACGACTTCACGACTTGGGATGACGGGTTATACGATGGGATGGCATGGCATGATACCAACGGCGTTTATTGGATTTGGGAGTACGGCGCATGGGTTCATCTTCTCCCATCACCGGGCTGGCCTGGGAAAGAAGGATGAATTTGTTTAAATACACGACACAAGCTTCAAAGTAGCGCGTATTTACCCACATTCATCCTTCTTCTCCCGGCCACCCCGGTCATCGCGCCGTCGAAACACCAATACAACAATACCACAACACAACCACACAACTAAACACAGCTCTCGCAGAACAGCTGACCACCCATCCCAGCCCCATCCCAGCCCCAGCCTCACAACCACATATCGTAACGGCACACATAACTGCTCCAAGGACCCAGCCATTGAAGTCTTGTTACCCTAGTATGTACGAACCCGTCACAGCAAAACGACACGATGTCTGAACTTAACAAATACACAATTCCTAGAGGCCTTGCAAAAGCCCTAGAAATTGTGAATTTGTTAAGCTCAGACAACGTGCCGTGACGTCACGGCTTGCATACTGGGGTAATACCACTTTAAAGGCTAGGTCCTCACAGGCCGTCCGTTAGTCAAGGTGTGAAGGAAGTATGACGATGGACAGCAGGAAAGATGTCGTGGGCTGGAAGGGGAGGAACAAAGGGAAACTGCACGCGCAGGTCGTGGTGCAAGGACTTAGTTTGAGCTTTGCTTTGTCTTTATATTTGATATGAATACCCCCCAATCAAACTACATGTTTCAATCACTCCACAGTACATGCTCAACATACTCCACTCAAGATGATCTTGTGATGTGATAAAATGCATTCTCTTTCCATGACATCTAGCTCAACAGACAAGGCTTTCACTTGCCCATCCGCATGATCCCCAGCAATTTCATACCAGAAAAGTAAAAGACCTTCCCACGCGCCCGATGAACCCACGGAACCCGAGATGACCGAAACACAGAATAGACACTAAGATCGTGTAGCGATTGTTCAACTCCCTTGTCCCCCGTTTGCGCCGTTTGTTTGATTGATTTGATAAACACCGATTTGAATGCATGTGGATGTGAAGTTCTTGACAAAGAAAAACTGGTCGTGTTGGTGTGATGGAATGATTTCACTGAGTGGCTTGGTGGTTCAACTCGTGCATCATGCTTACTTCGCCGAGGTGCTTCTGGTCGAAGTGGGAGTGGTCATCTGAGACGAGTTGAATGGGCGGCGCGGGGCTGATCTCGTCGTCGTCGTTTGATTGGGCGTCCTGCGTCTTTGGTGACTCTTCGCTTGGCCTGAGCGTCACTGTGCTCTCAGCTAGAGGCTCAGAGGTCTCGCTCTCTGCGGCTGTTGGAGCTTCAGGCGCCTTGCCGTTTGCAGTTGTAGCTTTCTCTTCAGTATGCGTCTCGCCTACGTCCTCGATATATTGGGGTTTGTTCTCATTCTTGTTGTCGTCTTCGGGGGTGATCGCCTTTGTGAGACTTTGGAAGTTGAACATTGGCTCCGTGCTATTCGAATCCTGTGGGGGGGTATCGGTGTCGCCTTGGGCTAAGCTGATACCTGATGCATTTGAACTAGGCACGTAAGAAGACCCGGGTGCGAGGTTGTTTTGGTTTTCCTGCTGTTGTAGTGAATTCTGGAATGAGTCGGCGAACGACGACGAGGATGAAGAGGCGTTGGATTTGGTGCGTTCAGGATGAGAAGGAGCTGGATTGCTAGTGTCGGACTTCTCCCGCTGAATCTGGGCGCGACTAGCTTCGAGATGTGCCTGCGGGTCGTCCTTGGTAGCCGGCGTGTTCAAAGTCGACGTCGGTTCTGACATGGGATTGAAGCCACCGGCGCCACCAGATCGATCAACTCCCTTTCCTTTCCCAGCCGCCGCAGAGCTGCCCGCTTCCGTTTCGTCGATGCCATCAATCTCGATGGGGTGGAAGCCGCTGCCGATATTCCGTTGGGCTTTGGCAACCTTCTTGATCTCCTTGGCCTTCTTCTTGCCCTCCTTCTTAGCTTCTTTGGCGGCGTCCTTCTCTTCCCTCTTCTTGCGGTCTTCTTCGGCTGCCAGACTCAGACGTATCGCTTCCATCATCATGAGCTCCTCGAGGTCATCAATCCTGTTTCCTCTCCTTGAGCTTATTCGGCTAGGGTATAGGTCGCCCGAGTTTCCTGGCTGACCAGACGAGCTTTCACCTTCACGGCGTGGTGTCCCGTGTCCACTGCTACCAGCGCTGTCACTAGTGAAGATCCGCCTTCGTCTTCCAAGGCCGAACCGGCTCTCTCCTTGTGGAAGATTTCCCATCATGTATGCAGCATTGTGTAGCGCAGTGGCGGCGGCAGCCCTTCGCAAAGCGTGTGATTTTGCGTCTGCCAGTTTCTTGGCCCAATCAGGCCGCACCATGTCGGTTGTTATCACAGTCTTGTCCGTGACTGCCAGTGACGTCGCCCTTCTTCTACCAGGACCGGCCGCAGTAGGCGAATTCAAGGACGAGGTGGATGACATTGCCGACGTCGCACTACCCATGCCGTTGTGGCCCTGACCATTGTAGACGAGCCCTCTCCTAAAAGGCGGCGGCTCGTAGGTCACTCCAAACTCGGTTTGTGTGCAGTACGGGCAAGCAGCTGCTTCCGAGACCAGCTGAACCTCTTCCTCCGGCTCAGCAGATTGCGCACTCTCAGCGCCTGGTTCTCCGTGGTGCTCTGGTGGATGTGGATCGGGTCTCTTGATCTGGACGAAGCACTCTGAGCAGATGGGCTGATCGCAGCAACGCGTCTTGTTCAGATGTGGCGGATAGTACATGAAGCAGATAGGGCACTCGGAGGCATTCTTGTAGAGAAAAGCCTCAACCCGTTGGCCATTAACGTACGGGTCTTTCGGGAGGTGTAGTTCTTGCGGGGCCATGTCAGACTGCGAAGCATTGCGGGAACCGGTCGCGAGAGAGGCAAGTGTTTTGGCGCGGCCACGGAAGAATGGCGAGGACGAGGAGTTGTTCGCGATCGGAGAGCCAGGCGAGGGGAGGGAGAAGGTGGGATTCGACGGGGAGAGACCACCTCCGCGCTCTGGCTCTTGAGACATGGAGCGAGCGCCCATGGGCACCGTGAGCTTGTTGAGACTGGGCTCTGAGCTGCGCGGGTTCCATGCCGTGCTGAGATGGTTGTTCGTGGTGACTCGAGGCGGCTCTTCGGGAGGTATGTCATCTGCGGCGGGCAGCGGGCGGCCGTTGACGACCTCGACAAGCTGGTGCTCAGTCCAAGTATCTTCGTGGTCATCGAGACCCCGCCAGAAGGGAGCGAGTCGTCGCTCAATCTATCACGTGTGAGTTCAGTCTCGTATTACTCCTCGTATCACGAATAGAGGCATACCTGTAGCTGCCGCACCGTGGGCTTGCTGAAGTCCTCTGGTCCCGTGTATACCCCGAGCGTGACCAGGTATCCTCCGTCGACGCCTTCCTCCTTCAAACTCCTCTCGCGCTCCTGAGCCCTCAGGATGCGGTCCTTCTCCAGCTTGCGGGCCTCGCGCTCCGCCTTTGTCTCCCGGCGCGGTTCAAGGGCGGGGTCGCGTTCGGCATTGTCGCCGGTGCGTATGCCGAGGAAAGACAGGTCCGGTCTGCTGCCTCTGTCTCTCCGCGAGTTTCCATAGGGACTGTTCCCCGGCCTGTCGTGTGTGGATGCGGCGGGCCCGGCAGCGGAGGGCGAGGTGGGCTGGTGGGCACTGGAGCGGCGGGCGTGGCCTCTCCGCTCCGGCGTGGCCTCTTTGCCCTGCGAGTTGCCCATGGTGCGGGTGGAAGGATGGATGGAGGAATTGGATTATCGATGGTGAAAGCGGATCGCGCCGGGCTCGCAGCAGGGCGGGCCGTGGATGCCCAAGTGCCAGTGACGCAGTCTGTGCGGGCAGGGATCAGGTCGTTATCGCGACGGCTAGCGAGGGAGAGGTGGTGGGCGTGTCCGGTGCAAGATAGCCGGTGTCACAAGGACATCGATGCTGGGGACTGGCCGTGGGTGGCCCTTTCCAACGCGCCTCACGAGATGCGATTAGATAGACAGAGTAGTCGCGATCGACAAAAGGGGCGCATGGGCGAGGCAGGCAGAGGCAGGTGCAGTGGGGGATGGGTGTCGACGAGCAACCCTGAGCGATGGAGCCCTGGAGTCGACGATTCCTGAATGATGTCGTTGCTTGGCAGCTACGCAGCGGACTGTCGATCGCAAATGAATGTTGCGTATGTAGGAAGCTTAGGGCCGAATGGGCGGGGCGATGGAAAAGGCAATCAGGCGTCAGGAGCGGCCGTCGATCATGTCAGCTCAGCATGCCTTCACCATCATTCACAGAGTCGAGTAGTGACGAGGATGCACGATGGAAGAGCAAACAGGCTGCGTGCTGGCGACATCTGGGCCTATATGCAGCCATGGCATGCAGCTAGGTCCTGGAGCTTGTGCCGCTTAGCCCGCGCCGCCACGATACCAATACCAGGAACCAACCTTGGGCCTTGTCCCAGTCCTGCTATTCCCGCCCGCAGTCGGCGACCACCAACATCACCACTTCGTTATCATCAAACACTCGAAATTCGCCCTCAAACACTGTGCTGTTCGCTACCAAGCAGACGTTGGGCGACACGCGAGCACTGCACCCCGCCCAAATGCGGGGCTCCAGACATTAACACTTGGTCAATGGGGTTGCATAACATGTTGCTTACTACCTCCCGTCCTACGCCGTGTCCACTGCTAGCCTCACCACCCTCGCGCCCCTTCAGAGGCCGCTACCGCCTCATGTCAGATCGTTCCAAATTCCCACGACGACTCCCAGTGGTATTTGTCTCCAGGGCCCGAGATCTGCTTGTCCAGCCGACCCCACTCCGGACTGTTCAACAATATTAGCTTGTGCCTGAAACGACGTCATCATCGACTTACTGGTTGATGCCATTAACGTAGTCTTGGGCCTCAATAGCGATGCACCCGTCGCGCGGGATGAATTTGTCTTGGCCAACAACACCCTGTGTGTTCTTGAACTCGCTCTTTCCGTCGTTCCAATTGCACGTGTAGAGGACAACGGCGTCTTGGTTCGTCGTCAACTTGGCCTCGATGCCGCTGTATGCGCTCGATAGCGTGAGCACAGCTGCACTCTTGTTCCTGCTCTCGTTGAACGCCCACGCGCCGTTGTAGCCGTGGCATCCGTTGCCACAGTGGTTCTCGAATTCCTCGTTGCCTGACGCAAACCCAAGTTCATGCGGTGCAGACCAGACTAATCAAATCAGCATCTACATATATTAGGTTTGTAGAGAGATTACTCACAATCATCAATGGCTCCGGCGGGGATTTGCGCAATCTCGCCGGTGGGAAGAGCGTTCGCATCGGCGACGAGCGCACGCTTGGCCTCTGGCATGTACACAGTGTGGTTCCAGACCGTGCGGTTGTCAAGGCGTTTGAAGGCATCGAGCTGGAAGTAAGTATGCTGCGTCAGCATGAGCGGCGTCTTGGCCTCGGGGGATGTGGCATCCATGGAGATGTGCCACTTGTTCTTCGAGACCGAGTATGTGACGCTCGCATCCACACGGCCAATCATACCCAACGAAGAGTTGGAAGCATCGCTGATGGAGAAGGTGATGGACGAATTGGTCACGGCGCTGACGTTCCACATCCTGTAGGACCAGTTGTTTGTACCGCTGTGGAGGGTGTTTGGGCCATCGTTCTTCTCAGTGTGGTACGTGACGTTGTCAATGGAGTATTCGCCGTTGCCAATGCGGTTGACATATCGTCCTGGGATGGCATTGTAGACAGGGTGTCCGGGGTCCACGGCTGGAGATTGTTAGATTGTCTTACGATGCATGCGCGACAACAGCTTACGGTAGTAGGACGTGTTGTCGTAACCTAGGACGATGTCTAGCTCCTGGCCTGTCGGGTCTGGATTCTATTAGTAGATATCATCTAGCATGACAAGTGCATTCTACCTTTGACGAAAAGGTTGGTAAGTGTAGCGGCATAAGGAATGAACTGCGCCCTGATCCCCTCGGCCTCAATTGTGTACCTTCCTTGCGCGTCTGGATGTGGAGAGCCTGGGTGAGCAAGCGCACCTTGTGCTGCTGCAGCGGCAAGAGCGACTGGGAGATACCTCATGGTGAAGTAGGCTAAGAAGTACTGGAGTAGGAAAGAGCAACCGCGCCAGCAACTATCCAACCTACAGCACCCACATCTTTATACATTGCAATCCAAAAGCGCCCCTCCAAACTGCATGCACCTTCATTTCTAGAAGTTCGCCCTGATATTAATCATCACTGGCGCCATGGGTGTATCCGGGGTTAAACGGGGGCTTGGCCATATAAAGCAATCTGTCTGAAGTATTACTCCGGCACCTCCTGCAGGTACTAGGTGCCTTAGCCGGGCGTCCCTATGCTCTAAGTAGATACTTGAGTGCATTATGTCTTGTTTGCTAGATCAAATCTGGAGTTGGTCTTTGATGGGGTGTGGAGGGCAAGACGCGCAGGCGGTTCTGCGGCACGTTACTTGCCATGTGGGGCGACGAGCCGGATGTGATGAGGCTTGCTCCGGGGATGCCCATCTTCCTGCTGCAGCGAGCCTTGGACGTCACCATTCTCCATCGCAGCTGAATCTCTGGCATCTGTGGAATATACTCGCATCGCTCTTCGATATTCTTTCTCCTGGACAATTGGTGTTGTCGCCTCCTCTTTCCGCATAACGAAGCTTCTGTTCTGTCCCTGAGCGATTGGATTCCTCACTTACTCTCATCAACAATTAAAGGATTATAGGCTATGTCTCAACATGTTACACCAAATAGCGGCACCTCTGGTGGGCACTGCGATTGCAGGACGTCCGCAAAAGTAGAATTCGTCCCTTGACATCCAATAGCACCTGCAGCCTCCTGCCGCGTGTCTGGTTGCCTAACATACCCATGCTTGGCAGCTGATGGGCTGAAGGTACATTGGAAGGATCGAACGTACTCACCTCAACATTTCCTACAAACAAGCTCTTCTTATCCCCAACCATGGGCGCGCTTGAATTCATCTGCGACCGAAGGTTCCACCGCAGTTTTGTGCTTCCCGCCAACCCAGATGCCGACCGACCCAAACCCTATCATGTGTCTTACTCCGACTTTGGCGACGCCGACAGCAACGCAGTCGTCTTGTTCTGTGGAGCTATGTTTGGGCAGCGCCTGTCTTACTCCCCTTTGGATCAATTAGCAAAGAAGCATCATGTCCGAATCATCCATCCGGATCGTCCCGGTGTTGGTGGGAGTGATGCTGTGACGCCTGAAAAGCGGATTCAGACTTGGCTCGGTTTGTAAACATGTTCTTCCATTAAGGCGGCTAACTCATCCACGTAGAAATGGTTCCCCAACTCTTGGCGCATTTGAATATCGAGCATGTCTCGGTTGCTAGTCACAGTGGGGGTGACATCTACCTCGTGAACCTTATCCTCGCCTATCCACACCTGCTCAATCCCAATCATCCATACGTCTGTTTCTTCGCTCCATGGGTACACTACTCCCACACGAAGATGACGCATCTACAGGCTACTGGGCTTCTTCCCGCATCTCTAATAGGGAAAATGGGCCCCGTCGCCAGATTCATTAATCAGAATGTCGTTCCGCTGGTTGGCTTGAGCGGCACCCTCGTTCAAGGGATATCCACGTCATTGTCACGCTCAAGCCCTACTGCAGGCCCAGTCGCTCTTGCAGGGTCTGAAACAATTGAGCCTAGAGAGCCAGATGATGGCCCACACGACACTCTCTACGATGTCGCACTGGACGACCCAAAAGTCGTGGATGATCTGCGAAACCACATCACCAAGTTCGTTTTCGCAGAGTCCGTGGACGGCGTCTCAGCAGACACACAGATGTTCTTGAGACGCTCTGTTCCGTGGAGTACTCCCATAGTCGAATGGGAAGATCTCGACGACGCAGTACAGCTGCTGTCCAAGACCATTGGCGAAGATGATCGACTGGCAGGAAACAGACGGGTCTGGGATATCGACTGCATGCACGCAGAACAGGACCAACTGGTCGGCGATAAAGGCAGGGATTGGTTCAACGCGATATGGGTACCAAGCCAAAGCTATGATTACAAAAATGAAGTGCTCCCAGGTACCGATCACGACTTGTTGGTGGACCCTGCCTTTGGTGGGAGCGAGAAATGGTTGCAGCGGGTCAGCGAGTCCTGGCAGACTTCGCAGCCTGTCGTAGCGGCCCCTTAGCATCAAATCTACTTTTGCATCGTCGCATAGAAGTACATCAATCGATAGTCTAGCCTTTGGTTTACCTATACTTGCATGCAAAAGTGATGACTCGTGCATGCAACGGAGATAACACGGTGCTTTGCAGTAACGCCGATCTGACGTCTTCGTCCAAGCGAGTCGCAGGGCTGGACACGCGAACACCATCATAGCCCTGCATCAACCATGGCCGAAGACATGCACATAAACCCCCAACGCGCGAAGCAGCTCACCGAGAACATTGCGAGCATAACCTCGCGCATCAACGCCGCCCGCCAAGGCAGCAAAGAAGTAACGCCCACCCATCTCCCCAATCCCCCCAAAACCCACCTGCTAACAACGCGACACTCCAGGTCCGCCTCATCGCCGTCTCCAAACTCAAACCCGCAAACGATATCCTCGCCCTGCACAAACCCGCGCCCCCCTCGCAATCACCGCTACAGACGCACTTCGGCGAAAACTACGTCCAAGAACTCCTCGAGAAGCACAAAATCCTGCCCCGCTCCATAAAATGGCACATGATCGGCGGATTGCAATCGAACAAGTGCAAGCAGCTGGCTGAACAGGTGCCGAATCTGTGGTGTGTGAGTAGCGTGGATAGTGAGAAGAAGGCGAATGAGCTGGAGAAGGGGAGGAGGGCGTTGGTCGAGAAGGGCGGGGAGGGAGAAGATAAAGTAGAGGGCAAGTTGAGGGTAAAAGTCCAGGTCAACACCTCCGGCGAAGAATCCAAATCCGGCGTCGAGCCCTCCGATACCCTCGCGCTATGCCGGCACATCATAGAGAAATGTCCGCATCTCCTCCTCCACGGCCTCATGACCATCGGCGCTATTGCGCGCAGTCAAGCCACGACGCCCGAGACTGAAAACGAGGATTTTGTTAAGCTGAAGGAGGTTAGAGATCAGGTCGATAAGGAGTTGGGGTGGGGAGAGGGTCAGCTGGAGTTGAGTATGGGGATGAGTGCGGATTTTGAGGGGGCGATACGCATGGGGAGTGATGAGGTTAGGGTGGGGAGTCAGATTTTTGGGGAGAGGCCGGCGAAGAAGGATGCTGTTGTTATGGAGAAGGAGACGAGGGGGGAGAGCTGAAGGTACAAAAGTGTGGGCGGGTTATAACTGCTCGCGTATTGTGTTTGGAGAAAGATGTGAGCGTTCCGCGCTGTCAGATTATTTTCACCTCTCTCTCCACTGCTCTGTCGTTCATTGCGTCTAATGCTATCTTATCCGCGTGGTTTATGCGGTAATACACACGGATACATATACGGAGCAAACCAATACGTACATATTCGCCTTCTTTTCCTTCTGCCGCCTTCAATATGAGCCAAAGCTGTTCTGTATACTGGTCGTCTTTGTACTCAGAGAGCTTGAGCACGAAGACCCACTGGCCGACCTCACAAGGACGCATCGTATCCCAATGCACTTTCCACTTGTCAGACAGAGAAAAGCACTCTCCTTCTGGTACCAGACCGTGATCATCAACATCTTTCGACTCTTGTTTCTGTAGAGCCAGAACCTTTCCCCGTATGACAATGAACCCACCCGATAGTTGACCCATAGGGTCATCGCCTTTAGGTATTGTCAGCACGCGGACAAGAGAAGCGCAAGTTTTCACTGGTCTCGCAAACCAGCGCCACATTATCGGCTCTTGGACTGCGGCCCATGACCATGAAGGAGCGCGCCATTCCTTGTGTTCGACGCGTGCTGACCCACGAACCCACCAGCCAAGGCTTTCGGGTAAGCTAATCTCCCAGTGGCCTGCCATATATCTGCCCATTCTTGGAGAAGCAGTTTTGGCCAGTGTTTGTATGGCAGGAAAAACGTCGCTGGCATATGTGAGTGATTGCGACGAGTATCTCGAAACCAACAGCTTCCAACTCTCTTCGATACTCCGGTTGGGCGACGGCTTCCCACTCAAAATGGCTGCCCACTTGCTTTCGTGCCCAAAACTTGATCTATGGTGTTCGTGATTGTCGCATTCGCAGTCGGAGGATTCTCGACATTCCCACCATAGTTCTGTTTTCATAAAATGAACTATTCTCCTGGATAGTATCCGCTCTTGGAATACCCAGCCTCTCGTATACAAAGGGGTTTCGAATTGGGTTAGTAGCTCATGGCAGTGAATCTCATATGTTCCATGGTCTCTATTCGTGAAAGTTTTCCGACGAGATGCGAAAGGTTCGTTAGCCGCAGCAAAGCAACCCTGATGAGAGTCGACAAAACCTGTTGTTGAAAGGGTAATTGCTGCGTCTTCGTATATCTTCGACATCCTGCTCCCTTCATGACGCCAGTCATCGATGGAGTCCTGGATGATACCTAAGCTGTGGTCAGTGCGTTTGACAGGGCGTGATTTCTCTAAGCACCAGCGAGACAAAATGCTTACAGAGAGAATCGATCCATAAGTATTGGATACCAAGGTAGTAAGCAAACTCGATAGCGTGTTGAAAAGCTAGGGGCAGATTCTCGCAGGGGATCTTGCTTGAGTATCGTTCAAGGTTTTCCGTGGTAGTTACTTGGATTGCCTTTTCTCCCCAACAATGACTGAGACAGGCGTACACACCAACCCTATCCTTTGAGGTATACAGCTTGGCATCCGCGGGTCCGTCGATCTTGACTACTCTTGTTGGTAGCGGCGTTTTCGAAGCCTGTCCACACGCACTGTGCTTGGAAACACACTGGGAGAACCATTTCTTGACTTTTTCAACGGAAGCTAGGGAGCTCAGAGGGCCTGTGATGACCTGGCCATGTTCTAGATATCTCCACGGACACGAAGGATCTGCAAATATTAGTAGCAGTTGGGAAAATATCTTCCGAACAGATGACAAGCGAGACGTACTTTGCGAAGGTTTGAGAACGTATTTGCCCGATAGAGAAGGTGTGCTCTTCACAAAGATATTTGTCAGAGTTGGATCTGTCGGCACGATGCCCATGTTGAAGTTCAATTCGCGGTAGCAACTGTCAATTGTGTAATGCTTTCCAAGCACTGGCCGGTAAGAGGATGTCTTGCAGTTGTGACCAAAGTGAAGACGTATCACGTTTCCAGGTCTTTCGAGATGCGCCATGTAAGGCTCCAGTATCCAAGAGACGATCTGGCACCCAGAGCAGCCTCGCTCAGCAGTTCGGCTGACCTCCCTTGCGTCTACCACGTGTTCTGGTACACGGGATGAGAGATGATGCTTGAAGCGATATCTCGAATCCCAGACCTCGTTTCCGAGGTTGAGACACACTGGACATATTGACTCGGGAAGGACCTCATCTGCAGCCACGAAAGGCTTTTTACACGCTCGTGAAGGCATCCGTTTCCTGTTAAGGCTCCATGATGAGCTGATTGTAGGGGCTCCAAGCTTTTCTGAGGCTAGTGGATGTGCCCACTTCCTTTTAAGGCTCGATCGTGTGTCATGGCGAAAGGCTCCAGGCTGAAGATCGCACGCTTCGTCCGCCATGGTGTACGGACGTCTGGATTCGATGTCGCAAAATAGAGTACAACAGAGTTTCGGCCGAGTAGGGAAGAAATATGTCAGCTGTGTTGTGAAGTGGGTGAAGTGGGTGAGAGCTCTGGAGTGGAGGAAAGATGAGGAAGCCACCAGGCCACCTGGGCTCCACCTGGGCGCAGCCTGATCACGTGTATGCGGGGTGCAGGCGCCCGCGAGGCCACCAATGACGCTCGTATGACTTTACGAGCGCTTTCAGACAGGAACGCATCATTCTGTTCTTCTGATTATCGTGCCAGGCTACCTGGGTACAATCTAAAAACGCGAGCGCCTTTATAGGGCAAGTGTGGAGCAAAAGGGCGCAGCTACTTAGGTACCACCGAGCTATAGTACAGCATTCCGCTTAGCGCCTAAACCATCGATGGTGGATATGGTCAACCGCACATCGATACCCCCCTTCAATATCCTCCTACTTTTATTCAGTCCCGATGAAGAACCTTCCTAATATATTCGACTCACAGTCTCTCTTCGAAAGATCATCGAACCGTAGCCTGAAGCAAACATGGCCAGCGATTCGGTTCAGAATCAAGAGGAGGGTTGGTTAGGCCGCCTACTTAACGGAGATTCTGGGGCCATTGCAAATGAATCCACATTGTGGCAGCTCTACCGCATTTTTGAGGATACAATGACTGGCAAAGCCTCGGCCAAGGACTCGGCGTCTAAAACAGCTTCTCTCGTCTCCTCTGAACCGAAAGCCTGGTATGACGTTATTGGGATATATGTCACCTCCGCAGAAAATATCGCGGACGAAGATGCACTGAAAGCACTAGTGGACTACATTGTGAAACTGGCAAGTCTTCCCGACGCTATCAACGAGAGCCATGAAACGGTCGTCATCGATCACATAGGCCACGCCGGGGCGTCGGTGCCCATTGAGCCAGGAGAACCTCTCGTGATGGGGTATGGAGGGAAGAGACTGTGGAGGGACTTGCCAGACTTGAGTATGGAAATAACAGAGCGCTTTCAAGGTAAGAGATGCCCACAGTGTGCGGTGGTTGCTTTGTTAGTTGGCTTACTCGTCAGCATAGGGCCTGAGCAGTACCTTTCAGATACACCATCACCAGCGGACCTTGAAACTGCAAAGACGTTATGGAAGAACTTCAATACTTTCCTCGCCCTCTTAGCCACAAGCGCTAGGGCTCAAACAATTCCAATTCTTGCAAATGGGATTCGCATGGCCCGCATGACCTTGAAGACAGCCCTCGAACACTCGCCAAACACAAGCAGGGGCAAGAATACTGATCTGCACATACCCGCTGCCGAGGCATGGTTCCGGATTGCGGGAGATGAGATTGAAAAGCTTTGTGAAGCTGGGACGGAGACGTTGCCCCCGGGTGATCTTTGGGTCAGTCAAGGGGGCGGGGATGTTTGCGACAGTGCTAGATTGGGGTTTTGGAAGAAGAGAATGTCTGAGTTGGGGGCTTAGTATGGGGAAGACGTCGCAAAATAATGACAATGAATAATGTCAAATCTGTAGGAGACGGAGGCAGCGTGGCAAATACATGACTGTAGCATCGATGCTTTGATGCTCACATATCGAAGCGTGGCGGAGACAATGCACAGGCGAGCCATAGACAACGCCATCAAAGCTAATCAATATGCCTACGTTTCATCATTACGTAGCCCTGTGTCCCCCGAATACAGCCTGAATAATACAAACAATACTTAAGCAGCCGGATCTAAGAATCCCTCCAACGTTTCGTAGTTCAACGGCTTGAACAACTCATTGCTCAGATCCGCACCGCTACTTCCCAACAAGCCTTCAAAGTTTTCAAACGCGGCGTCGAAATTCAGCCAGTCCGGTGACTGCTCAGCGAATCCAAATCCGGCGGGAGGGCCCGTCATAGGCGCGCGATCTGCGCGTTCGCTACTTGTGGGGTGTTGACCGGGTGTAGGAGCGCTTATCGGGTTGAGAAGACTGTTCATGGGCGAGTTGGCGTGAGGATGATTTTGGTGTTGCTGGAGCCGAGGGTCGATAGGCGTCTCCCCCATGTTCTGCGACCAGGGCTGCGACTGGTTTTGTGGTGGCATTTGGTTGTTATGTGCGTTTTGCGGTGCTGGCGGCTCCGTCTTCGGCTCGGTCGGTCGGGGTTCGGCTGGAACCGGTACCGGCGTGTTGACAGCGTTGGTATTACGTCCTGCTGCATTGCTGAGCACAGCTCGTCCGAGATCAGCTGTCGTGCCTGCAGACCACCACGAGTTTCGTAATCGGTCGAGAAGCCGGACGCATTGCTTGAGTTCTTCGGTGGCGCGGTTGACGTGGACCTTTAGGCGGCGCGAGCGGAAGTGACGATACACCACGCTGAGGGCTACACCGAGTGCGTAGGGTACGATCGGAAGCGGTGGAAGTAGCTCGGGGGATTCAGCGTTGAGAAGATGAATCACTCGTGTCGCGGAGAGACTCTGTCGGACGTAAGAGGGGGTTGACTTGACCGGCGCGTTAATGGAGAGGGATTTGTGGGAGGCCATGCACATGGTATGATGGAAAAGCGATAAAAGACCTGGAAATATTAGCAAAGATAAAACTTCAGGAATTGAAGCAGTTTACTCATGATAGGGCCATCGAGCTTGTCTTCGCCGTCCCCAACCATCTCTTCAAACCCTAAGAAGTCATCACCTTCCCAGCCTGTCTCTTCAGCAGCTCTGCCAGGCCTATAGTAGTCGATGACTTTGTCCAACATCTCGGAGATTTGAAGCCAAATTCCAAATGGGCTTGATCTCTTTTCTGGATCTTGAGGAAGCTGTCTCAAACTGTTGTCGCGATCGTGCATTAGCAAAGGTCTTCCGTTCATACAAGCGTTGATCTTATCCAGACTCCAAAGACACCAGAAGACATCCTCCAAATTGCCTTGGGATTCCGAACTTTGGTTTTTCCATTGATGTCCAAATTGAAGGCCGAAGGTATGCGCGTGATGGATGGCTTGTGCAAGATGCATGGAGGCTTGCTCGGCGCCATCTGGACCTTCGCAATGAAGCGATATGAGAGCAAGCACTTGGATGAGCACGACGCGATTCTTCTCTAGCTTTGCTTCGATCCCAACAATGACGGCGTTGTAGAGCCTTTGAGAGAACTCGCGTGGATTGAGTGGCTGGGTCTCGTTACCCAAGTAAAGGTGCTTGGCGGCTGTTGCGTGTTTTGAAGCGACAATACAAATTGCTTGCATCAGAATTCGAGGTTCCCGACCATAGTTGTACTGCTCGTAGAAAAGCTCCTTGTCCACAAGCGGGAGCAGCGGATGGACGTAGCTGAAATAGATCTCGAGAAGCGCAGTTTGGTTCATACGAGAAGGGAGTATATCAACTCCGACCGCGTCTAGGTAGGTTAGGAGAGCCCTAGATACCTGAGCCTCCTGGTTGGAATGCGGACCTGTTTCTACGATCCGCGAAGCGCCTGAACCCACTTGCGACGATGTCTGTCTCTGATCTCTTTCTTCGATCCATTGTCCAATGGGAGGGTGACTGGGTGACTGGGCAGTCTTTCCACGCTCGGAGTGAACTTGCTCTCGCAGGACGGCTTCAGGATTGAGATAGCCCAAGAAGTTGGGTGGTGTTTGGACTGTGTGGTCCGAGGCCGGACTCTGCGGCGGCGGCATTGTGGATTGAGCATGGCCGTAGTCTCCACGCGCTCCCCTGGGATCATGATAATGGCCGTTCGCGGCAGGACTGTCAGAGGATGTCGGATTGCTTCCGCCACCACTTTGGGGAACGTTGCCGCCACCGCCCGTGGCTCCCTCGTCGTCATCAAAAGTATGCGAGCACCGTTTCTAGTATAGCGTCAAATAATGGCCTTCAGAAGTTTACTGCTAGAACTTACTCTTCTCTTCTTGCATGATTCGCAGGCGCGGTGGACTCCTGTTGGCGCCGTTAGTTGCTGCTTGTTGTGTTGCGCGTTGCGCACGGTCTATACGCACTTTTGCGCTTTCGGAAAAACTCGTTGTTCGCAGCAAATGTGATCATTGTCGACATGTCGGTGGCCTGTGGGTGCGCTTCGTTCGCGCAGGTCGTGTATCGCAGGTAAGAGACGCTTGTTCTCCGTAAGACAACACGAGGTTGACGTTGCCAAGGTGGTGCTTCGTACACGTGATACGGTCGCGCGCCTGCCGCCTCCGCACTTGCTGGCGCTTGTGGAGCCGAGGCGATGGTTTGGCCGCCAAAACCGTGAAACCGCAGGCATCACGAAACCTGCCCTACCGTTCGCATATTGCGGAGCAGCCCGGCTCGTCAATGTTGCTTACATCAACCTGAACCCTGAAGCATACGGTGTGGTTTGTTGTTATGATACTGACCAGCAGAGGCTGATGTATCCCTCATGACGCGCTTTCGTGGCGCACGTCACAACGCACCTGGACAGCCACATCGAGCTTCTGCGGAGTTCATCTCAATACGGTCTCGTACTGGATCACTCGCCTTCCGTCCGTCCCGTCTCGCTCTATCACCAATACGGCTGCGCCTCCTATCACCGATAGTGCTGCTAATCAGACTCGCTCTAGTCGTATCCCCACAGCGAGAGACACGAGTACTTCCGTCTCTTACCTTGTTTCACATTCGAGGGTTTCTCTCAAAATCATTCGCAAAAGCTACGGATAGCTCATTACAATGCGCCATCGCAGTATCTGTAGATGGCAACCGAGGCAGCCCTCGAGGCCGTCCCGCACCCGTTCTAATCTTAGGTACCTTTCTCGGGCCTTCATATACCATACGCGGACCACGTACCTGGAAAAACCATGGTAATATCATCTGAAAACCCTTACCGCACGCTTCATCAATATGAATCAGACGACATGGCAGGCCGCTAATTACCAGCGCGCGTTCCACGTAGTGCGAAATGGACAGATTCACCAACAAACCAATTCGAGAACAGGACATCCGGGAGGGACTCACAAATGTTTCAAGGCTTGTCGAACTCACAATATTGGGGCCTGGATACCTTCAATACACCCGAACGCATCTATATGCTTGGCGTAACCAGCATGTATCTGTCCGACGATGCTTTCATCAGATGGTCGCCTCCACTCTAGTGTCATGTGTATGTCAAGTCGTTTGTCGCTCAGAGAGATTGCCCTTTGATTCAGCGTGACGGTATTGTCCACAAACTTATCAAACTTCCTTGTATAAGTATATGGATGTAGAAGCTGCTATTCCACCTGATCAATATCCAGTATGGTCGAGCCGAAAGCCGGTATCGAGCGTCTTGCACGCGAGACCCGTCAGAGAATTTACGACTACATATTCAGCGATACCGGAGATCAGACCATCAAGGTGACATTAGATCAGCACAACAAGCTCCGCTTCGAGAATGGCAACACGATCTTTGACCTTGTCCTGACAAGGAAGATCTTTGCAGAGGAAGTCTTACCCTATCTGTTTCAATACATCACTTTCGCATTAACAGACGATCTGCGTACCTGCAGCCCCATCGTCAAAGCTTTCTTCCATACATTCAAGCCCGATGGGAAGTTTCACGCCAAGAAGATTGCTATAACGTTCTTCACCATCCGCGGTCTCCTCGATCTGGCGCGCATCACGTATCCGTACGCCCTTGGCTCTGGCCAGGGTCACCATGGGGGTACCATTCCTAACGCCCAAATCAACTCATACGTACGCTCAAAGCTGGTGTCAGGGCTTCAATACAACCTTCTGGACATAACATATGTCTTAATAAGAGATCTTGAGTATATATTCCAGCTATTGAACCGGATGCCAGGTCTCAAAAGCCTCAAACTCGGTGTCGACGTCGTTGAGTTTCTAGCCTGCTGTGCCCCGTACGATTCAATGGAACGCCCGCACAATGTCGCTGGCCTTTTCGAACTGGTCAGGCAAGATACGAGTGGCATATGGCCAGCCAGCCACTATATGCTGAGAGCTCTGCGTACAATGAGCGGTATGGGGAGATTGCGCAACGTTGAGTTAAAACTGGATTGGGGTGACTTTGTGTTGAATAGATATCGAGCAGCTGGCGTGGTCTTTGGGCCCCCATGGACGAGTGAAGTGAAACAAGAGATGGAAGAGCGATTCGAGGACATGATTTTCGGGTGAGCTATAGGCTCAGTTGTGTAGAGCCAGAATGAGATTCCCTTGAATCCATGCATGTCTGTACTCAGCAGCAGGAGCATACTGTCAGTCGCTGACGTGCGTTGGCAAACGAATAACACCGACTCCTCGTACAGAGCGAAACCCATCCATGTGGTCTTCCATGTTCCATAACAGACTATCAATACCCCTCCTCCCTCAACCTCTTCCTAACATCCATCAACGCCCTCCCCAAAAGATTCTGTCCCCACCGATACCGATTCCTCTCCGCGTCCTTCTCCGCAAACCCCACGCCCCAAATCCTATCATGCGGACTCGCCTCCACCAACTCCCTCTCTCCAGTAGCTAGCAGCATCTTCCTCAGATTCTCCGCATCCTCGCTAATCGTAAACTTGTGGTAATTCCCTTGAGTCACAATCTCCAGTTTTCCTGTCACCCAGTCAGCATCGCCCTCCTTCTAATATCACATGGAACAACAGGCAGTACGTACGTTCATCCCAAACCTTCTCATCAAACCCGCTAACCATTCGTCCTAGCTCTTTATGCGTCTTCGGATCCGTAGTCTCGAGCATTTCTTTCGCAATGTTTTCGTCGTTGAAGCAACGTGCTTTGTGCACCATCATCCACATTTCGGTTGTGACGTAGGTTTCGTTCTTGAGCGTGAACTTGGACCAGAACCATTGGCAGAGGTAGCCGTTGCCGTCGCGGGGTTGCCAGAAGAAGACGGGTTTGGCGGCGGGTGTGGTGGAGGTGGAAGAGGATGTAGAGACGGAGGGGTGGGGGGTTGTTGTTACGGGCATGGTTGGTGTTAGTTAGTTGTGTAGACGGTGGCCGGTGTGCTGGTGTGCTGTATCGCGTGGGTTGTGGCGATGTGCGGAGAGTATTATCTGCTGTAGGGTTGTGATGGGAGTAGGCTTCGTGCACGGTTTGGGGTCCGGATCTAACATGTATAAAGTTCCGTAGTAATATGACTCAAGCATAGCCGCGCTTTCTCAGGTGCCATTGATGCTTTAGGCACTAGTGGTGGTGTTGTACCATGGCTCGGTGGCAGTTGCGCCCTTTTTCGACATGTGCAGCGGAAGGGCTGAAGGTTATGAATGAGCGAATAATGCATCAACCGTTGCGACTTCTGTATCATGGTAAGAACCGAGTTGCATCAACTCGACTTGCTGCCAGCAACAGCAGAGTAACGCTCACACATTGCCCATATTCAGACTACAGTTGACGAAGACAAAGGACGGTGTTGTTTGAGCTATGTCAACCACAACACACCCTGGCGGATACATTACCCTTACATTTTCAGTACATCAACGTAGAACATGGCGAATACCTTCAGGCCTCATCGAAATACTGCATTCTACTGAGAAAACAATAGAGCTACCATGACCTTCGTAGCCTGGAAAGCGCCCCTAGTACGAACAAGAGAAGCAAAAGTTTGGGGTATCTTCTTAAACGCCGCGCCACCATCGTCTGTCTCGGACCATACTTGCGGAAAGGCAGCCTCGACGCTGACGTCTGACTCCGCCTCGCCTGTCCAGTCGAAACTTATTTGCCAGCTGAGCTTCAGCAAAACGTGCTTGTCTTGCAAAATCAGTGTATCACGACCCAAGTTCCTGCCCAAATCTTTGCGCGAGATGGTGTTCGTGGGCTTGCTTCGCTGCCGTGACTGGGCGTTCTCGGTATCTTCTGTGGTCCGGCCTACGAGTAGATGCGCAAACGCAGTCTCGCACTTGTGCCAGTGTTGTGCCCGCTTCTTCGCAATCTCCCAGTACGAGTCCATAGCCCAAGACGCATTGCCCAGATCTCTCTCCTGCGCTTTCGCACGAACAAAGGCTCCCAGCTCGCGCTCGGCCCACGGCGAGATTCGTAGAAATTGCATTTCGACTATCTCATTCGCTAACACGTCGATGGTGATCGAGACTTGGGCCGTCAACAGCTTTTGTGGACCTGCAATGTCGATGGTATGCTTCTGGTGGACCCGCCGTGATGTTGGGGATATCTTGCCGCGGGGCAGACTGAGTTGTGTAGAGAAATTGAGTGAGGTGAACATCTGGAGGTATGGCAAGGGATCCGCGAGTTCGACTGGGCGATGTGATGGGACGGGCTTTTCCTCTTGTTTCGGGCGCGGTGGAGGAACGGAGAGGGCAGCGAATGGTAGGAATGAACAGAGCAGACTTGATACTGGTGCTAGCTTCTCTAGCTCTGTATCGGTGCCGCTGATATCCGATATGAACTTCCTGGTATTGTGTCAATCACAGTTTGGCTATCATGGGAGCGTTCTGGGCTCACTTGAGACTTTCGCGCTCTGGAGACCGCAGAGAATCTTCAGGCCCGCGACGCTGCTCCTTAACGACTTCTTCGATGCATCTTGACACCTGAGACTCTAACTCTTCTACTTCACGTTGTAGACGCGCCTTTTCCTGTTTCCTTCGCTCAATTTCTGGATCTGGAGGCTGCCTCTTCTGTACCACTTCTTGAGTTATCTCTTCGGTCATGTCTTCCACTGGGCCATCTTCTACCGTCCCTGTGAAATCGTCCGATTGTACCGCTGGCGCTCTCGAACTCGGTGGAGGTTGTTTTACGGGATCTTTGACGCGCGGGGGCCGCTTGCTTGGTGAGGAGAACAGTATTGTTCTGCGCGGTTGCTTTGATGCTGCGCGAATGTCTTGTGATGGTGTGCCTGGGAGTTCTGGCAGGTCGCTCTCGCTGGGTAGTTCTACTTCGGTCTCTTCCCTTCCTCTGGAGCCATTTCTAGCTGGTACAGGTCGGTTTGGGTTGCGCTTCGGAGATGCTGAGAGAAGATTCGGGTAGTTGCGCGCAAGACTGGCTTTGGTAGGCGACGCAAAAGACGGTCGTCGCGGAGGTTTACTCAGAGGACTGGATGCTTGTTCGGTGGGCGAGCTAGTCCTCCTTCGTTTCGCCGGTGGTTCGTTCATGATGTTCGCATATGAGGCTTTCGCAAGATCCTCAACTTCGGCGCGTTTCTGGGGCGCTCTCGTAGTAGAAATATGCTTGGGGTTGAGATAGATGGGCTGGTGGGGTATGCGACGATAACAGTGAATGCGACGCGTCGGCGCGTGTTGTTGCCCTGTCGGCGTTCGCTGCAGCTTTTGCCGACGTTCGGAAAGGCGGCGCAAAATGACGTCGAACCGTCAATCGTTACTTTCAATCAGCTGCGAATTGGCAATCGACAACAGTGGCTAACTTCGACATGTCATAGCGAAGTGACTTGTGTGACTGCTTCGTCTCTTTACAATTTTTCGGGGCCAATGGAACGCATCGCATACTCTGGGCAACTGGCATTGCGCCAGGAGCTCTGCGCTTCGTGCTTGAAGACATGGCGCAGGTCGCGTGCTTTGACAGAGGCAGGGCGGATAGGACTTCAAAATAGCAATCGGATACAGCGTCGCTACAAAGGCTATGTTGCACCAGAAGGCGAACAAGCCAGGCCTATCACCGGCTTCTATGCAGGTTGGACCCTCACCCACATCACCAGCGGTACTCGAACTAACAAGATCCAGACATGCTGAAGAAACCGCTGTCGGAAGCACAGCCACTATCCCACACAACGCCCGAGCCGCCAAAAGAGCCACCGAAGACGCAGAAGGAAGAGACATTTGCAAAAGCCCGTATCGTCTTTGGATCTACCACGGCCTTGGAAGAACGTAAACAGGAAATCATGAAATCGTCCCAGAACGTTGCCGGCGTACTAGTCCCTCCGCGACCCGAAGAACCAGACAACTGCTGCATGTCTGGATGCGTGAACTGTGTATGGGACATGTATCGAGACGAAATGGAAGAGTGGGCCGAGAAGAGCGCTCAAGCAAGGGCGGCGATGCAGGCACAACGGCAGGAAGGAAAAGGCACAGGCAGCATGGTAGCGGGAGACACATCACCGAGTCATGTTGCTACGAGTATGGACGATGACGGCGGTGGCAGTGAAACGAATTGGGACACTGGTTTCGATGATGCGGAGAAAGACAAGTTGTTTGACGATATACCCGTGGGCATTCGGGAGTTTATGAGGACGGAGAAGAAGTTGAAGCAGGCGCAGAAGAAGGCCGAAGCTGCGGCGGCAGCGTGAGCTTCGAACTCGGCAATACCCATACAGTTATCTTGCCATTCAAATACCCATCCATTACATATCTTGTGATATTCCATCCTATGCCCCAAAATGACACCAACTATGCTGCACCCCAATCTTCCATGTCGTCTAATCTTCGCCGACATCCACGCCCTTTGCCTGAAGGTCTTTCCGCGCCTCCGCTATTTGCTGCATGAGCTCCTTGTGCGCGTCCGGTACGTCGTTGAAGGTGAAAACTCCCCAGCCGAGCTTGAAGAGAAGGTATGCGCCGAAAGAGATGAGGGCCCAGAAGGGTAGCTATGGTTTGGTTAGCGGCAGCCCAGTACAATAACAATGGAGATAGTAAAGGTGGTGGGACAAGGCTTTCAAGTAAAGGTAAGACTTACGAAAGGTACAATCTCCTCTTGGATCTTCTGAGGCAGCGGGACGACTTGGAGGAACAGTGAGAGGTAGATCTGTCACATGTTAGCATCCAATCTTGTATATGTAGAGGTAAGGGGCTGCATACGGAGGTGAGGAGCATGCCAATGCTGATGGTCTGCGTGGCGCGCGTCATATTGGCGAATTGGTTGTTGTAAACGGGTTAAACGAGGGTCGGTGGTCGGAAGAAGTGCGGGTGAGGGCGTGATGCTCGACGTTTGTGGTGGTGAATGCACAGTGCCAGATCGCTCAATTGCCGCCAAGGGATCTGTGTCCAGGGGTCCAACGGAACCGGCCAAAGGCAAGGCCAACCGCGCGGTGGGTCGACGCTGCCGCAGGAACTCACCCCGTTTCTTTCCGCATCTGCAAAAAACAAGTGGCTGAACTATTGATTGCACTTTTTCTGGAGTTCTCCTGAAACCAATCCGACTAGTAGCCATCACCTGTACGGCGGCTCCGGACGACTGCGCGTAGCCGTTTCATCCTTGCGCAATCTCTACCGCCACTATGCACTCTTGAGCTTTGCCACGACTTTGAGCGACTGCGTTTCTTCATCTTCACACTTTTGCGATATGCCATTATCCAATGAGGAGCTTGGCGACTATATAGCGTCTTTAGAGCGCCTACTCCAAGCCAACCCTGCAGGCCAGACCGCTGTCCTCACAGGTTACGTGCATAAGCTCGATGCGTTTGCAGCAAGTGGGGACAATGAGGCCATAGAGAAGACCTTGCAGCTGTTTGGGACGGCCGTTGGCGGTCGGAGTATGTTATGCCTCTGTTCAAAGCCAACCCTGCTGACACTGTGTAGAAAGATGGCAGGCCCCGTTCCGCGACAGCGGCATCCTTGCTTATGCTCTCCGTGGCTTGTCTACCGTTCGCCATGAAGATCCCGTAGCAAAGCAATACCTGAGAGTCATTGGCAACTCGGTTGCTGATAATGGTACTGTAATCCGAAGAGTCCTCGTATGACGCAAACAGTCTGACTGGAGTCAAGATACCAACAGAGAGCTCGCCGTGAGAGAGCTCGGAGCCATCGCTGGCTGCCTTCCCTCGCCAGAACTACGCTTGACCACTTTGGCCGTACTTTTCAATCTTTGTAATGACTTTGGTGAGCAATGCCACAGGATCCTCCAGACATGCAGCTCATGCAGATAGAACCCGGCAAAGCTGCAGCGGCCGCCCTCAGACTGGATGCCACAATATGCACATTCCTGGTACTGGACAGGATACCGGAGGCAGCGCTTGATTACGCCACAGATCTGCTGAGCTGGACCACGAGCAACTTGAGCGACGCCCAGTTCAAAGACGAGGTTTCGCTGGAGACATTCAAAAGTCTGCTGAACGTGGCACTGCAATACGATGAAGACCATCATCTGGAGTACGTGGCCATCCTGGTACATTACCTCCAAGACCCAGAGTTCCAGCAAAGGATAGCAACACCGAAACTTCTCGACGACCTTGTCACCCTGATGCTGGAGTTTGAGGCCCGACTGGAGCCAAAGGACATCGAAGCCGTCTTCCAGGAACTCGCGACAAGCAAAAACGCGGATACTACCACATCAGACGAGGCGCAGGTTCTTTTAATGGCTCAACTCATTGGGCTGCTATCTGCCGCTTCAGCAACAGACGTGTTTGCACGAAGCTTCAACATCAGAAGTCCTGTTATCGAGAGGCTGGAAGCAAAGCTCCGCGCGCCTTGGGAGAGCGCATACCCATCTACGATATGCGCTTGTGTCATGGTCGGAAATCTGGCCATGTCTGATGAGGTTTGCATAGACATGGTCAAGATTATGGAACTTCATGTTCGATTGATCGTGATTCTGAAGAAGAGCACTAAGCCTGCCCTTCTTTATGCTGCAGCTGGCTTCATGCGGCATCTTACGTTTCCAGAGGCTAACAGGGCTTTGCTTGCAGATGCCGGACTCATGGAAGCGTGTTGTCGCATGCTCGTACTGGACGATCCTTCAGTTCGAGGCGAGGCGGCAGCTATGCTATGCAAGCTCGTCACTGGTAACTTCTACAACATCGAAAAGGTCATGTACGAGACCGTCGGCCCTGACACAGAAGCCATCGACCCAGACATCTCAGCCGATACCGTAATCTTCTCGCACATTGTGGAGCAGGCCCTTGCTCCCTCCGCACCACTCCCAAGCACTACGATGAAGAACCCAATGATCGAGCTCGGTCGCACTATTGTCGCCATGCTGCGATATCTCGGACGGCCCAACGCCGAAAAAGACGTTGAAGCAGTGCAAATACAGATCTTACAAGTACCCCAGATAGCCAAACCGATCGCCCAACTTGTACGACAGCGCTTCTACCCCGAAGCCCGATCCGAAGGACTACTCGGCCTAGGTCTACTAGCCCAAACACTCGAAGGCGCAGCAGCAATCGCCGAAGAGATAAAAGAGGACAGCGGCCTCCTCGAAACGATCAAAGAGCATGCCAACGCAACAGAAGCAGGTCTCGCGCAGCAATCCCCTTCAACAGCTAGCCGAGACCACCAAAACGCGATTGTGCTGCTCCAGGCGCTGCAGAACAATGCGGTAAGAGAACTCCAAGAAGCCGTCGGGGAAGTACTAAGGACTTCCAGACTGACCAAATGGACGCAATACTCTCGCATTAGACAGTCTCTGTCTAAGCACCAAGGGCGTCGCTCTTCAGGCGACGTCAGCACACTGGGTAGCCCTGGAGGCGCCTCGCCGGGGAGAGTCAGAGAGTTGGCTCGCAGGGCTACTACGGATGCGCCTGGCATGTCGCCAGGAAGGGCGAGGGGGTCTACGCTCGCTAGTGAAACTAATTCTGATGAGCGGCCACGGACTCCTGTGAGGGTTCGGGAGGTTATTGGCGAGATTGAAGAGGTGTCTCCAAAGACGATGATCAAGGAGTCGCCGGCGAGGGAACGGTTAAAGGGTAAAGGCATGAAGCGGACCAATACGGCGCCGCAATGATTTCGATGATGGTTATGTCTTATGTTTTTAGTATCTACTCTACTTCTTCTTAATAATGCACTCTCTACTTATGACAACTATAACTGGTATTGCTGTTGATGTGATGTGATCGAATGTTGTGGTCGCCACTCCGTCTAAACTACATGTTCCGAGTGAGACTCTCACCTAACACCACCTCACGCCACTTACGAACCACCGGACATATCAATCAGATAACCCCCAAACGATCTTCAACAAATGGAAGAGAAGCGAAAAGTAGTGAATAAGCATTGCGGTGGCGTCTGTCAGTTTCCAGCCTCACTCCGCACCATCAGCGTAATCAAGAGTGCTCTGATTGGCCAGTCGAGCCACTCACGTGCATTCTTCCGCTAGCAATCCAGGGTCCATGACATAGTATGTAGAAGGGTAGTTGGGTATAAAGAAGGGCTGTCTGTCGACGTATTGAAGATATCAACGAACTCAAATCTACCAACTCACACACTACTTCTCAATCTTAAATTCGATCTCGCAAACCAACAACTACATCCTCAACTCTACCAATCAACCACCACAACATCCAAGATGGTCTGCTGCGGACGTAACAACGGCACCTGCGTGTGCGCTCAAGAGGCAAAGTGCTCGTGTGGAAAGCAGCCTGCTCTGCAATGCAGTATGTCGCTCCCTTCTTTCCTTCACCTTATGCCCTCTCTCCCTAGTCCGTATACCCAAATATCCACCACCTACCGTCTACCGCCTACCGCCTACCACCCATCCACCCATCCACCTTGTACCTCACACATGTATACTGACGCCTGAACAGCCTGCGACAAAGCCGCCACCGAGAACAAGCTCCCCACCGACTCCTCAGCATGCGCGTGCGGAAAGCGGACAGAAGATGCGTGCAACTGCGGTCGCGCTGAGAACAACGGATCGAGCAGCCTCGAGACCGACTTTACTACTAGCAAGTAGAGAGGTGGATATGGTATGAGGGTTTGAGGCGTATGGGGGTGCGCGTTGGTGTGTAGCATGAGAGGGTGTTTTTGGCGTTTACATGGGACGGTCGAAGGATCGAGGGTATACCTGATATCAGTAAATGATGATTTGAAAGTTCAAACTTGTTCTGTCGTGTCTTGTTTGCTGTGTGAAGATCGGTTTGACGCGTCGTGTTGCGGACGCGCGCGTTCCTCTCTACCTATTCTTATCCTTTTCCTCCCTGCCCATCGTACAATGTCTCCGGACTCATTCTGGAGACTTTTGCGTTCATGGGAAACATGTGTTGTACAATGGACGTCGCCGCTGCCTTCTCGCTCTCTATGTTCATAATCGTGTTGCGGTGGTATCTCAACGATAGCTTGCGGAGCTCGGGGGAGAGCGGCGGCACGGTCGGAGGTGTGTATACAGTAAAATTCAAGGCTATCGCGGCTCTGTTGAAAGGTGCCCTGTTCAAGTACTGTCCAAAATCGGATGCTTGGACCTGCACTTGCCGTAAGGGTCAAGATCGCGATGTCCTGGTCCTACTTTGACTCGCACGGGCAGGAGCTACACGCTAGACCCTGTTTGCTTGGCATCCATGTGTAGAACATCCACTTATTCCCCCCGTCAGTCGTGCATGCAGAGAAACAGCTAGATAGCTTGCCGGGGTGTTGTGCGTCTTCCTTGCTCGTTCCAATTCCATGTCCTGCTCTCGATTGCGCCATAAGCCTGCAGCCAGCGTCTAGAAAGCGCTGACAGGCGCCCCTTTCGCGAACTATCGACCTCCGCTCCGCAGCGCGCACGCCGGCATAAACCCTGCCTCGAGGCCCGTACCGCACCATTCCATAGCGCACCACCACTACCGCCGCCGCATTGTCGGGCTACTTACCAGGTGGGAACCGCCCACCCACCACGTCGTCTACTACCACCAGCATGGCGGCCTCGGTCACTTCCAAGATGGCAGCGAGGGCTGGTGGAGGCCTCTTCAGCCGGGAGCAGTCGGGCAACGTGCCCACGATGCGAGGTACATGACGGCATGCCCACAGCCAACGGACCGAAGCTTACACGCGGACAGGACTGGTCTCATTCATCGCTGATCTGAGGAATGCTCGCGCGAGAGAACTCGAAGAGAAGCGCATCAACAAGGAATTGGCCAACATACGGTGGGTACACGCTGCCGAGTTCTAAGCATTTCCGGAAGGCTAACAGTGCTGCAGGCAAAAGTTCAGAGGTACTTCTCCTTGGATATACCTTTCCACATGACCTGCTCTGACAGAACTCCCCCCAGATGCCGGCCTGAATGGCTATCAGAAGAAGAAATACGTCTGCAAGGTACACACGCCACTCACCGACTCTCCCAACCTCTTGCTGACTCCCGCAGCTCCTCTACATATACATCCTCGGTTGGAACGTCGATTTCGGACATCTCGAAGCGGTCAACCTCATCTCCGCGACCAAGTACTCGGAAAAGCAGATCGGATACCTCGCCGTTACCCTATTCTTACACGAGGAGCACGAACTGCTACACCTGGTCGTTAACAGCATCAGGAAGGACCTGTTGGACCACAATGAGCTCAACAACTGTCTGGCGCTGCATGCGATTGCGAACGTTGGTGGAAAGGAGCTGGGAGAGGCACTAAGCGCCGAGGTTCACAGGCTTCTGATATCACCGTGAGTGGCATGAGATGGGTTTCGGGGCCAAGCTGACGTCGAATAGGGCCTCCAAGGCATTTGTGAAGAAGAAGGCCGCCCTTACACTCCTGCGATTATACCGGAAACACCCTGCGATCGTACAGCACGAATGGGCGGAACGGATAATATCCCTCATGGACGACCCCGACATGGGCGTGGCACTTTCCGTAACCTCGCTGGTCACGGCACTCGTTCAGGACAACACCGAGCAGTACAAGGGAAGCTACATCAAAGCTGCAAACAGGCTGAAGCGGATAGTTGTGGATAACGAGTGTGCCGAAGGCTACTTCTACTACAAGGTGCCATGTCCGTGGATACTGGTCAAGCTGCTCAAGTTGCTGCAGTACTACCCACCTCCTGGTTTGTATCCTCTCCGACTATTGAAGACTCGCACTAACAGAAACAGAGGACTCACATATTCGGAAGTTAATTCGCGAAGCGCTCCAAAAGATCATGGACTCAGCCCTCGAAATGCCCAAGAACGTACAACAGAACAACGCGCAAAACGCCGTCCTCTTCGAAGCGATCAACCTCGTAATCCACCTCGATACAGAGCAAGACTTAATGGTTCAAATATCGCAACGGCTGGGCAAATTCATCGCATCTCGGGAAACCAACGTACGGTATCTAGGACTGGAGGCCATGACGCATCTGGCTGCTCGATCTGAGAACCTCGACCCCATCAAGAAGCACCAGGCAATCATCATCGGATCATTAAGAGACAGGGACATCAGTGTGCGAAGACAAGGTCTGGACTTGCTCTACAGCATGTGCGATCCGACGAATGCGCAAGCGATCGTGAACGAACTCCTACGATACCTACAATCCGCCGACTACGCGATACGGGAAGAGATGGTACTAAAGATTGCGATTCTGACTGAGAAGTACGCTACGGACGTTCAGTGGTACGTAGATATATCGCTACGGCTCATCGCGATGGCCGGAGACCACGTTAGCGACGAAGTCTGGCAACGAGTTATCCAGATCACGACGAACAACGAAGAGCTACAAGTGTACGCTGCGCAAACGATTCTGCAGTACATCAAATCGGACTGTCATGAGACGCTTGTAAAGATTGGTGGATACCTGCTCGGAGAATTCGGCCACTTGATTGCGGATAGCAAAGGATGCAGCCCGATCGAGCAGTTCATGGCGTTGAGCGCAAAGATGCGAGGTTGCTCATCAACAACACGGGCGATACTCTTGTCATGTTACGTCAAGTACGTGAACTTGTTCCCCGAGATCAAGCCTCAGCTTCTTCAAGCTTTCCGCGCCTACAGCCACTCGCTCGACTCCGAACTCCAGCAAAGAGCATGCGAATACCTCACCCTCGCCACAATGCCGACAGACGACCTACTCCGCACCGTATGCGACGAGATGCCTCCTTACCCAGAACGGACGTCAGCGCTGCTCTCGCGGTTACACCAGAAGCACGCCACTACTAGCGATAAGCGAACATGGGTGGTCGGTGGCAAGGATGCAAATGCGGACCTCAAAGAATTCGGTCTTGCAAGGCAGAACACATCTGCTGGTGTCAAGAGAAGCTTCACCGAACCCGTACCAAAGGATGCCAAGACTGGCGCGGCGAATGGCGCCAACGGTATCGCAGCCATCTCAAGCGATTTGGAGGGTCTGGATCTCAACATGGATCTGAGCAAGGCTTCCAAAGCACCAAATCTCGCAAGCGCAGCTCATCTCAGTCCCGACTGGGAGGTTGGTTACACTCGTCTCCTACTTCGGTCAGAAGGCGTCCTCTACGAAGACCAGCAGATACAGATTGGTCTACGGACAGAGTACCGCGGGCAGTTGGGCGCTCTCATCTTTTATTTCACGAACAAGTCACAGTTCTCCATGGGGTCTTTCACCACGACACTCGACAACCGGTCATCGGAAACCTTGAAAACAGACATCAAGGGTCTACCCGACACCTCCATTGCGCCTGAAGGCCAAACGCAGCAAACCATCATGTTCGAATGCAAGAACGTCTTCATCGACCCTCCCACCATTCGTATATCCTACCTCGCCGGAGCTTTACAGGGTCTAACCCTCCAACTCCCCGTCCTCCTACACAAATACATGGAAGGCGCCGAACTCAGCGCAGAAGACTTCTTCAAGCGCTGGAAGCAAATCGGCGGTGCCCCCCGCGAACACCAAAGCATATTCGGTCTGATCAACAAGAACAGAACGATGGACTCTGATTTCGTGCAAAAGGTGGTCAAGGGCTTCAAGTGGGGTATTGTGACGGGTGTGGATCCTAATGGTAAGAACATCGTGGGTGCGACGGTGTTGCATTCGAGTGAGGGCAAGTTTGGATGCTTGTTGAGGCTGGAGCCGAACTTTGAGACACAGGTATGTTGGTGTGCTTTGACAAGGGAGATGAGGATGCTAACGATATGTAGATGTACCGGATTACTATTCGTGCGACTGATGAGTCGGTTCCGCCGGTTCTGGTCAAGGCTATGCAAGACCGCCTCTCGCAGGGTATTGAGGGCATGGCTTGAACCACAGGGCTCCTTGCCTTTCCACCTCTCTACCAACACCAACACTATTCTTACACCATCACCCTCCTGATGTGTACACACCTGGAACCTTTTGTTCATATACTAATGTTTTTGTCTGGGAAACTTTGGACTGCTGAGAGAGAGAGAGCGAAAGAAGTATGTTTGATGGCTGGGCTGGACTGCATATGTAGCGTTCATTCTTGAGGAGAAGGAGGAAAACATTGAGATATGGCGCATACCCTTGTTTCTGGCTCATGTAGCATGATTACATATATATTGGAGCGTTTTTTTGTTTCGTGGAAATTGGGCTTTGATCTTGATGTTTGTGGGTGATGTTGAGAGGTGACGAGGATGATGCTTGAGTGACGCGAATACCTTCAGGGTATGTTTTGCTGTTGCCTTGGAAAAGACGAGCCTCTCCATGTTGCCGTGGCGCACACGAATTCCCGAGGACAAATCATGTATACTTGGTTTCTAGAAATCCTAGAGTCATGCAGTATGTGGTCCAACTGAATGGAGTTGATGTAACTTGAGTTCAGTCATTGGTTCGAAAAGAATGGCTCGACCAATCCACACTCCACGGCACTGCTCTCTTTATCCCCATAGAACAGAACCCAAGTTCTCCTTTTATCTTCAAAGTCAATTATCCCTCTTACAACATCAAATATCGCGAAAACCTCCCATCTCCATCTTCACAAAACTCGCGCCACAAGGAACACCTACGCATTCCTCAACCCCATATCCTCCTCTCCACACCACCAAAATGGCCGAGCGCAAAACCCTCCAGAAGTACTATCCCGCCGACTTTGACCCAGCAAAGCTAGTGCGCTCAAAGAAATCTTCAACTCCCAGCCGCACCGTCGTAAACTTCGCCTGCCCCTTCCGCAGCATGCGCTGCCTCTCCTGTGGCCACTACACCACCAAAGGCAAAGTCTTCCGCAACAGCCCCAAACACATCTCGCCTGAAACATACCTCGGCGTGAGGATCGTTACGCTGCACTGCAAATGTCCTGGCTGTGCCGCACAAATCATCATCGAAACCGACCCCAAAAACATGGACTACAGAATCGTGAGTGGGGCGGTTAGGGGATTTGAGACTTGGAGAGATGATGAGCGCGCTGAAGATACTGAAGAGCAGCGCTTGAATCGTCTTGAAGCTAAGGGGCTTAACGGAGACGATGAGAAAGCGACGTTGGAGACGCTGGAACTGAAGATTGAGGATGCGAGGGTTGAGGTCGCTGTTGCGGATGCGTTGGATGAGATCAGAGCGGCGAATGCACGGAGAGAGGGCTTTGGTAAGGAGTGTAGTCTGGCTACTCTTGCGCTATCGAGGGAAGTTGAGGATGCGGAAGATGCTGAGATTGCGCGGGCTGTTTTTAGGGGGACGAAAAGATGTTCACCGGATCTTGAATCGAGTGGAGAGTCGCTGAATGTGGAGTTCGCGAGGGCTAGGCCGGTGAAGAAGGCGAAGAAGGATTTTGCGAAGACGTTGGGGATTAGGAGGAAGATCGATGTCTAAGTTCTTAGATGGTTTATTGGCACGTTCTCTTAAGAATTCCAAGCTAGTCAATATTATCTGATGCTGCAAATAGATCATGATGGGCATGATCAACACTTTCTCTCTGAGCTGTAGTGTCATCGATATTTCTCCTTCTGAGAGGACTTAATTAGATAGGCACATGACAATCTTAGGATTTCTTAGTCGCTTGTTGTGATATATCATGAGCAGTACTATAGAATGAAGTTAGATTTGCGCACACAGCAATGCAAGTCAGCGGTTGAGTATATGAAGTAAATGTCCTAGCGTTATCCCAGCTTGCACCACACACACACACGCGCACTACAGCACTTCCTCCCGCCTCCATCGCCCTTAGGATTCCGACACATTCCCTCTAAAACGTAAGATAACTTCATAAGTTTGGAGCGTACTCTCCTTGTGCGAAATGTCGGAACAGGTTTCGCTATTTTGGTAGCAACCTCCATATTTCATACTTGACTGCCCAAGTTCGTCCCACTCCATAGCTTACTTCGAACAATCTGCCTATTCCGTCTATACACAGTAAACCCAGCCTATGCCTCCTGAGCTTGTATGGTAACGTTCTTTCTATTTCATATCTGAACATCGAAGTTCCATAGAGCTCCTTGAGTGGAGCCAAGGGCATGATTTCGAGTATGTGGCGGCGAACAGACTTCAGGTTAATCCTGATGCCGTCATCCTGGAGGTGTGGGATCCAAGCCGCTGCCGTCAAACAACATTCATCTCTGATCAAGCATTGCATCCGCGATTCGCGCCAGAAAGACAAATCTTCCTGGTGAAGTTTGGGACTCGATACTGCGGCCTGCCTGTTGAGAAGCTCGAGCAAGATTTCTTGCAGATGCATTGAGTAATCAGGGAACAATCGAAGCGATGGTTCGAGCATGCCCATCATGCCAAATACTCGATCTCGCGAAACCTTGCATTCTGTATACAACATCAATTTTTCAACAGATTTCCAATTCTTTTTTGGAGCTCCTCGACTCTGGTTGATCGTGGAGATCCGACGCCTTCCTTGGGCTTCCAGGTTCCAGGATTTCTCTCTGCCACGTACATCATCCCAGAATCCCCCTAATCTTTGCCAGCCTTGATAGAACACGTCCCATGAGAGTGTCCTCGAGCCAATGTGTATTTGCACAACTCTGCCAAGCACGATCTCTTGGGTAATCCAAAGTCTTGACCAATACGGTAGAGTCACAAACTGGCGCAAAGATGGGATAAACGTACGCAGTTCCTGTTCATTCACACTGATCTTTGGCGGTGGAGACTGACGGGAAAGGACACTCTCATGGATGATCAAGTCCACGAGCTCGTTGCTTCCATCGAATCCGGAACCTAGCCAGGCCTCGACGACGGAGGCTACGTCATAGATATTTGCCATTTGGTTGACCTGGTGGCCCTTTTCGTCATTCTGTCCTTGGTTGATGCATATCTGGTCAATCCAAAACGAAGTCGAGCCAAGGCCTTGCCTCGTCTCCAGGAAGTCGTCGACGCTCTGCCGAACAAAGAGCCAGTCTCGTCTGATCTTCAAGAACTCGTAGAGGTTTTGGCGAATTGAAAGCCAGCCTTGGCATTCCGAACTTGTGACAAGTATATCTTGTGCTGGTAACTCAGGACCCCAAGTATAGGACACCGCGACAAAGCCAATCGTTCCTTGCAAGCAAGCGTTATATGTAGGGCTATCCCGTATTGCGCTGGCGTTACCATGGAGAGCCTCCCACCGAGCTACCTCTACACGATGGCGAGTGAGTGCGTCACTATGTTCACTAAAATCGACGTTCTTCATAATGATGTGAATAGGGCTTAACGAGTCGGACCCCGGCTGGATTATTATGAGGCGTATCTCATTATTTCTGAAGTTCAGTGGAGTGTGCGTGAATCGCACATGCTTAGGTGGCAACTCCATCGCTGGGATAAGGCTGTGCGTGGACGTTCGCTAGGCTGTTGGGATGGCGCGGGCTTTCGTAGGAGCGTATCGCAGGGCACAGAAGTCCAGAATAGCTGTTGATGGCTCGCTCTTTCGAGATATGAGGTGTGCTGCAGACGAGTTCTGTGGTACTGACCGATTTGTAACGTCTGCATCGTGGCGACGTTGGTGTCGCAGCAAAGATCAAGGTTTTGCGATGTTTTGTAGCATCGAGGCGGAGTAAGCCCAGGAGGCTGAGCGCTCTTGGGTGGCCTGAGGCGCGAAAGTGGCTGACCTGAACATGCTTCAGGCTACGGGCTATGCGAGCTTGCAGACCATCATGACTGGCGGGTCAATTCGACACCCTCATAGGGTAAAATGCGTTTATGTGTAAACTGATTACTGTAACGAATATGGTACTCATATTCCCTACGTGATAACGCTGTACCGATGCGCAAGTCGTTCGCTGTCTGTCATTGAGAAAGATGCAGCTTGCGGGAAGAATCTCATTGTTGACCGCCGCCCATGGAAGCTAAGCCAAATGGGGCCTAGCGGTTCATTCTCAGGAAAGAACGCGGGTGTAAGTATACATCCAGCTCTTAAGAACAGCACCATCAACATACGTAAACGTGTGTAAAGAGAGAGTGCTCGTTCGCTTGCCTAATTTTTAGATGATACCAATACTGCTTACCACCACTTTGTACATCCTACTTCTTGCAGTTGTATTCACGTACAGCAGACAAACCATGTTGAAAGTCTTCAATCCATGTGATACGAACGCAAAAAACTTATTTGACAGTGCGAACAATACTGAAGACGAAACGTTCCAAGGGCGACCTTGAAGTGAGCCCCGGCAAGCCCAACTATCAGCTCACCACTGAAGCAACCACTTGCTACAGCACCCCACAGCCTGATGTCGCACAACACCAACCCTCACCTCTCAAGCTCCCTAACACAACATATATTCTCCGACGCAAGCACTGCAAGCAACCCCCATCGCATCCCTCACGTCGTGTGACCAAAGACTCGACAGCAAAAGCCTGGTCTAAGCCGGGTACCTACACCGTGAGCTGCATGGCCAGTGGGTGCCTGGTGCTTGTGGGGCGAAGAGAAGGCATGGGTGTAGGGTGCAAGGTGCTGATGCAGGAAGGGAACTGAGCTTCGAAAAGCTTGGGCTTTGGGCTTTGCGTTGATGATGTGCTTTTGTGAGGGATGGCCGTGCTGGGAGGAGATGCTGATGAGGGCGCGATGACGGAATGTTAGATGGGCCTTGTCGGCGCGTTCGGACTCACGATGCGATGACGAGGCTGAGCTCGTTCTCCCGGGTCCTGGCCCGTACAGCAAAATGATAAGAGTCATACCCTACCGACGAACCTTCGAGCTCTTGCTGCCCAAGACCCGATCTCCGCCCAAACATTCCTTCTTCCTCTCCTTCCTCCGCTACAGACGCAGGAAGCCGACCGTAGAATATACTCGGATAGATGCCTGCGAGCTTCCACAGCAATGAATCCGCCTCGCTAGCACTCCGCAGATCCATGTTTCCTCGCTGCATCCTCGTTTTCCTTCGTACGAGCTCGCGGGTACGGTAGCTAGCTCCCCATGCCATGCCATGCGGGCATCCCAGCGTCGGGCATCGCCTACGTGCGTTCTATATGCGTTCTGCCTAGGAGGCGAAGTCGACGATAATAGCGTTCCGAAGTCTGGATATCGCGCTACCTGGTTCATGCATGTTCGCAGCAAGGTAAGGTTTGGAGAGTCAAAGACATTGTAGCGTATGACGCGTGAAGAGAACCGTGGAAGGAAAAGAAGACAAGTCGTCGTCTAAAGCGCTGGGCACCTACCACCCAGTGGGCTGTCCCGGACGCTCTTCTCGTATGCCCAATGACCTGTGCTCATGGGCTGATCATGCAGCTTCGCGTGGGATGCCGGCGATATGGCACACTAAAGGCAAACCTTGCTAATTGGGGGTGTGCAAAAGGCAACCATGGTCGATCGTGAACGTTCGCCTTTGTTAGTACGACGCCAGAATGGGAAAAGCATAGACAGAGGCTCAGCTGTCACGCCGTTGGAACTGGTACAGCGCACGGAGAGGCTGAGCAGCGAAACGCTCTGGGCGACTGTCGGAGACCGCCTAGTTGCATATGCGCCCTTCGGAACGCCTACCCGCTGTCAGTCTTACACCTGTCCTTGTTGTGTACACGGCCGGGTGTGAGTGTGCTGTTGTAGCTTGCCGTGAGGAATGTGTGACTGTGAACACCTTTTTTCGGGCCGGTCGTACGTGTACGGGAAGCCGCTTGTGTCTTGGGCGGAAACGCGGGAGTAGAGGCATGTCCAATTGTTCGTATGGCGGATGCAGCAAACTCAAACGCAGTGATACGCTCGTAGATGGCGGATGTCTGCAGGTGGCTAGATGAGGACCATCGCTGTGTTACTTGCGTTGTCCAAGGGGGCTCGTTACAGTAAGGGGCGTTCCGAAGCATTGGACTGGGCGAACACATGTCGAGAAGCGGCGCAATGCTGTACCACTTGTGGGGATATCGTGCTAGCATTGAGCAACGATCTGATCATGTTGTGGAAGGTTTCTCGCAAGTGGCTGATGAGGCAGACTTGGGTGGCTATCGTGCAACCATGCAGCGCCATTGCATGTTCTTTGTGCGACTGACAAAGTTTGGCATCGCCCTAGGAGGAGAAGGAAACATGCGGAGATGCTCGCCAGTACGGAGATATTGGGGATCAGTGACTTGGAGATGTATTTCCGGTGTCCACGAACGAAAGTGCACTGGTGATGGAAGGTTTTGGGTTCATGACTTGGAGCGACGTCTTTGCTGGTCTGGCCCGATGAACGCCCAAAGTACTGTCGATGTGCAGTGCCACGGATAACCGCATCGGCATGGAGGCATGCTTTTGAGATGTCCGCCTGGAAGAAGGGTCGATCACGTTGAAATGGACGTGCATAGCTAAAGGAACGAAGAGATTCCAGGCATCAGGTTCCAGCAACACAGCACAGACTGGTACCCGTAAGGTGGATGTCAATCGACAGACCCGACAGTCTGTTGTAGGACGGAACGGTGACACCGAC